ACTACAGCTTATTTAATTTCATTTCACGTTCCACTATTCAATTACGAATACATCAATTGTACTTTGAAGTCGAAGATAAATACACGTTGCAATTTTTGTAAAAAAATCGGGGAAAAATCTTGTGATACAATCTAAAACGTGCTTTCTTTACATGTTTCTGTAGTTTGCCACACTGGTACTGAAGCCACACTGGTACTCGAATGGAGGACACCTTGATAAATAATACAATATTTCCTCGCTGTCCAAATTCATTCTGAGGGGCATCGTACATCGACCCTTGCAGATCGAACTATTTCTCATGTCAACTTCACCCTTCGGAAATGGGGAAGATTTTTGTCTTAATAGGAAAACTGAAAATTCACCTTCATGCCATTATTGTGTACCATGCGTAATTATTTGCAAGATATTTAGATTCAAATTAAACAAATGCTATCTCGTGCAAAAAGTGAGAATCAAGATATCCAGGCTAGAGGGGTTCTTTTAAAATTTTTGAAAAAAAACAATGCAAGAATGAAACAACTTAATTTATAAATATATACGTTATTAAATTTGCAACGATATTAACTGAACTATTCTACATACGTATATTCCACAAAATTTCAGTTTCCGTAATTTCCGAATTCGGAATTCTTGGAACCAATTGTAATGATGGAACTGCGTAGAATATGCAGAACAGTTCAATAAGTAACAATTAATATTATTGCAAATTTAATAACGTATATACAAAGTTCGACATGATTTACGTGAATGTTCGTTTAAATGAATATTTACATAAAACATTAATAGTTATTTGGAAGTTTAAATGAAAGACAAAGATAATTACTTATTATTTGTACAGATTAAAAATAAATTGTTTAAAATGATAAAATTTATTTCCTACTCTCTTAAAAATATAATTTCAATTGTAACTTATTAATTATCATTTTTGAATGCTTATTATTTTGAATTTACTGTGTGACACATCTAGCGAGGCGACGCATTTATATTTTAAAAAACCATATCTGACAAATGAATGATATACCAATACAAGTACGACATAGATTTTAAGAAGTCAGAGAATCAATTACTAATTATATTGTATATCCCTATCAATGTCACAATTTCTGATGAAAATATTCCTTTTAAGGAGAAATAAAATTTTGGACGATCAAGTTAGGTGTTCCGCTTCGAACGCATTCCACTTTTTATGATTGTGACAACAATATTGTTTCCTAGGTAACCTTATTTCTTAACTACGGGTTAAGAAATTCACAAGAACTACAATGTATATTTTACACGCCTACAACACATGGTAATCAAACATTTGTGTAAGAACACTGCACGATGACAAATTCTAAGAAAAGTATTGTGCAGTTGCATTTAAAAAAGAATCTCAAGGCTACTTTGATTTATAAGATAAATGTGGGAATTCCGAAAATTTTTCTTCTCCTACATTAATCAATCGAGCTTGAATTTGTACTGTTTCTCGTGTGGTTATATATTACTCATATTATAACAGATAATTACTTGTATGTTTGTACATCTAGCAGCAATGTGTATAACAATCACTGCAATGCATACTGTACAAAATTGATGGAATTATTATTTGTAATTATACAACCATGAAAGCCAGCGTGAAACGTTAAATGGCTGAATTACGATGGTTGTTGTTGTAATTCGTATTTAAGTTTTACATCCATGTAATTAATTCATTTATATGTACTGTTCGTAAAAATTAAATGAAAACATGGGATAAAGTTATTTTCAGTATTCACGTAAATATATTCAAATACTGCTCTATAGAACATTCGGTTTACGTTAGAACCTCGATTATGAAAACTGTTTATATGTCAACTATGATAGAAACTATGATTATCATATTTTAATACAGAATGTAATAAAATAATCTTTATTAGCAGATAGGATAGTTATCAATGCGTGTCACAAAATGAATCATAGTTTAGTATTCTTACAGAAAATATTTGGATAAAAGAATAGAGATAATTAAATAATTTAATTTCTGCTGACATGTATAACATGCAGAATAAAAATCGTAGTTTCTCACAATTTTCGACCGATAACTGCAAGAAATCTCGAGTTTTTGTTAACCGATTTCATTAAAATTTTCAGTATGCATACAAGACGCCGAGATTTTTAAAACGAATTTTTTAAATTTTCATTATAGGCTTAGACAAAAAGGTTGAGAAGACATAATTTTTAATTTTTTTATCATTTCAACCAATTATAATTTTCGAGAACAATTTTTTAGCCATTGTCTAATAAAAATTTAGGCCTCTTGGCCTAATTATAAATATTTATAAATAAATATAAATAATTATAATAAATAATTATAAATATTCATTGAACTGTTGATGATTCCAAGCATAATCAGTTACGTTATTGTCAGGGCTAAAAAGGTATTGAAAAGTTGCAGTTGATCAAAGCTATTATTTCTTTAATCCTCCTGCATACTTTCAATTTGTACAAAGCTCAATATGCTCGAATAATTGACGGCACTACTTCGTTTCCGAACCTGATAAAAAAAATAGTATCGCATGTATGACGGACGACCTAATCAACGCGTAGACGTAGTGTAGGGTAAAGTTGCCTAATACGAGGACCTCTCCTAACAATGAGACCCTAGTTTGTTTTCGTTGTAGACGTCCCATCGTCGCATCGACACTTCTTTGTTGCGTATCAACTCGCATCTTTCATTATTTCGTCTGCTTGTTGGTGTCCAGATCAGTTTAGCGCAGAGTAGTCAAGGAAATTAACTACCCAAGGCGACACATACGCATTTCTGCAATTCTGAACTACGATCAGACAGAAGCTCTGCGTCGCGTTGTCATCGTAGTTCAGAATTACAATATTCACCCGATAGACGCCCCACGCCGCTGTGCGGGATTCGCTGCGCATGCGTCACTTTGCGTAGTTAATTTGCCTGACTGCACTGTTCTACTGTCGTGGCGAACAATATTTGTAGAATACGTTGCGAGAAGTTTTTGAAAATTATATTGCAAATATCTTAAAAATGATAAGTGCATAATTACTTTCGCAAATACTATTGTATAGTACATTCAATGAAGTTTGAAATTTACTAGTTATACAATATCATTAAAGATTGCAGAATAATCCACAAAATTCCTTACTATTTGACATGTTATTATTTCCAAATATGTGACCTTGGAAGAAAAGACAATTTAAAAAAAAAGTACTAAAAGAAAGCGTATAGAAATTGCTAGTTCTATAAATGGGCCATTAAACACTGTGGTGTTGAAGAAACAAATTTTATATGTCCAATGTGTGAGAAATAGAAGAAAAAAAATTTGCTGGAAAAGTCAAACTGGGTCTCAGAAGGTACCCATTTTTCAAATCTATGAATTTACATACTTTTAGTTTTTCCTTCATTACGAAGTAGCGGAATTTCTTTTCCTACATTTACCAGTAGATTGTAAAAGAATATATACAGTGATGTAAATAATTATAGACTCAAAGTCATTTTTATATTTTTAGTAATATTTAGATAAAAACATAACGATATATCATATTTGTATATTTCTATATTCTATTATTTCTAATATAGAAATATACAAATTATATTCTATTATTTCTAATATAGAAATATACAAATTATATTCTATTATTTCTAATATAGAAATATACAAATTATATTCTATTATTTCTAATATAGAAATATACAAATATGGTTTTTTCTTGGTTTTTCTTTAAATATCTGTAAAAATATATAAGTTACTTTGAGCTTGTAATTATTCACAGCGCTGTAGGTGGTCTCTTTTAGCTAAGTCATCCTGTTTATGTAAAACAATACTTAACAAAATATCATGTTTATATATTTCTATATTATAAATAATACAAAACAAATACAAATATAGTATTTTGTTAAGTTTTCGTTTAGGTATCAGTAACAATGTAAAAGTCGCTTTGAGTCCATAATTATGCCCACCACTGTATTTTAGTTTTTAAACGTGTATCCATTTTTAATAAAAGTGTTTTCAATCGAAAATTATGGTATAAACAAAAATGGGTCCCATACTAGGCACCTTTATCCCTGGTTAGAGATAGAACAGTTTGCATAATCGAGGCTCCCATGTGTTGAGGAAAGCGTCACGTCGGTATCGTGGAATTCAGCGATTCCACGTAGTTCTGCTATGGTTCCCTTCAAAGTAAAGCATTGTAGAAGCTGATCCGGTTCTCGGTGGGTACATAAGTTCTTTGTCCGTGTCTGCATTGTCAGAAATCACGCTTTGAGAAAGATTGCATTGGAAAGCAATTTCCATACGAGCTGGATCTCGGTAAGACGATCTAATCACGTTGCTGCAATTTCCAGCATCTGCACTGGTCGAACCATCAGATGGACTCCTTGGATAGCGGACCTGGACTCGGCTTGCCGAGAACCTCGAGACCACGAGTGAACAGCGCCATCGATGTGGCCGGCTTTGTATCCCAGGTAGGTAATCGTATCAAACGGGAAAGCTACGCGCGTTCAATTTCCTCGTGGAACACCTTGAAACTTTCGATCGAGCAGGCCGTGGAGCTATCAGCCCTCGCGTCGATTTCTAATCAGAAAAATGGAATAGCCAGTCACTCGCCTCTAATATGCTGAACATTTGAACGCGCGGCGAACTGCAATGCTCGGTCGAGAATTTGTTTGGTTGAAATGACTTTCTGCTTGCGACGGAAAGTTCTCAATGAATGATTTCGCAAAAAGAAATCCATCGACAAAAATTGTTACAGCTTTTCTAGTATTTCGCATGGAAATGGTACCAGAAAGGTACTCCGATTGATGGTACTTTAATATGCGCTCGGGATTTAAATGTCCGCTGCCGGACTGTACTCTCTAAAACGCTCTTGCTTTATTCAAATTGATACATTGGATTTTATATTGTATTTGGTGGTTGAAACCCTGAGCACGGTTTTGAGTAGATTATTTTGTGCAGAAATTTATTAAGAAATCAGATGAATAAATAATTTTAGTGATAAATCTTATAGTTAATTTCTCATGACTTTTTTCTTTTGCAAAACATAAAATTCCACTCGGTAAATAATAAATGCCCATTTACAAAACCGCGGTACTCTTATCCTAGCGTAGGTCCTTTAAATGGGAGCGGCGAAATGTTAAAAACTTATTAACCCTTTCAGCGTTTAAGACGGTCACATTGTTGCACTATAACAACGAGTCAGACTCGTAGCGAAGATTTCATTCATAATCTACTAAATATGAATGCTACACAATTTCTTCTCTAAATCGAAATAAAATATGATTATTCTATTTTCAAAGCTTAAAAATGAAAGCAAATAAAGACATACAAGAAATAAAAATTCGTTTGCTGCATTAGACAAATTATTAAGGACAACGAAGTGTTAATTAACCTAGCTGTGAAAGAAATCTTAGTACAAGGTATGTGGTATTTATGAAAAATTTCATAATCACAGAAATTCGTTTTTTAATTATATTAATAAATTGAAAATGGCTGAACAGTATTTTTAAATTTCTTAAATATTTTTAGGGTTTTGTATTTGATCGACTAATTTTTCCCAAATAACATAATCTGAATAACATCTATATAATGAGGACGTAATGTAAAGTCGTGAAAGTAATATAAAAAGTAGATATTGCATTTACTATATTTTGTTCATTCTGGTCAGCACTGAAAGGGTTAATAAGAATGATGGTGATTGTATAAATAAAAGTACACCACATGAATTTACAAGATTTTGTATATGTTGTCGGTAACGTTATTTTATACATGTAACTATTATTTGGCTTTATGCAAGAAAGCATGTTTGGTAATAGTTTATCTACATCTAATTTAGAATTACTATCCCAGATCTATCTTAAATCTGACTTTAAATTCTGTGGCTGCAGGAAAGCTTTGTTCAAGTTGAAGATGATGATTAGACTGTGGTTTTTACGCAAAATAGAAATTGTCTACATTAATCACAAGATAGAAAAGCAATATCCACATGTATTTCTTTTCTCAATGATTTGAATAAATTGGAAAGAATATGTAGTACTTTTAATATCTTTAAATGGGTAAGCGATTTCGATTTTATCATAAATGTATCAAACTCGCAATCTAGTGACAATAAAATTGCAACAGTCGCTAATAACCAACGATGTTGATGCGATTTTAAAAATTGCTAAAGTCAAAGAAAAATAAGTAACGGTGTTGCGAAATTTTTGAAATAGTCTTAGATTTAAGGTAAGTGACTGGTTTCACATTTCTTATTGAAATTATAATGATATTTTGATGAGAATCTTGTGATGCGAGAATTTTATTGATGTAAATAATCTACACAATTTAATTGTAATTTGAAAGATCTAATAGTCACTATACATATAGTATATTATATATAGCTAATAGTATTGTCATTTTTATAAAACGATACATACCAGTTTTCGTGTTTGGTTAATTTAGTGTCAATATCTGTCTAGGTTAGGTTAATGCTTTCTTAAGTTTTGTATGAAATGCTTCTAAAAAATAATAGTAGATACGTACACAATGACTAAAAAAAAAATAAACGAATGATTAAATAAACTATTTTGAAAATGGGCATTCGTTAATGATTTTTCAATAACAAACATCCGCCACTTTAAACTTCAGGAATCTGTACTCAGGGTGATGGCCTTGGCAATACATTAGAAAATCGTCGAGATCGGAGAATGGTACTTTTGTCGTAAACATTTACCAAATTTTTTACGTAATTTAAAATGTACGAAAGGAATTCTTTTACGGATTAAAAGATTTGCGAAGGTAAAAATGAGGTAGTAATTTCAATAGTGTCGATTTAATTACCTTGTTGCATAGACGCGTAAAATCTGTAGTCTATGAATAAGCTGTTCCTTCAAATATTGTTTACGAGAAAAAAGTTACACGGAACAGTGTATTCTCGACAACAGTTTTTTAACCTAAGGGAACCAATTTCCCCGATATATACTTCTTTTTAATAATGGTCTATCGCCCACGCTCATTGCTTACCTTATGTACAAAATAATAAGCTTGCATGTACAAAAAAAGCTACACACTTTCTCAATACAGCACAATATATCATATAAGATAATGTACATAATCTTTGTAATTACTGTAATATAAAATTACTTTTCACTGAAACGACATAACATTGTACAGAATTATATATACATATAACTAAAACGTAAATATTGTTAATAATATTTGTCCAAATATATGAAAGCCATAGTACCACATAATTCAAAATTCTAAATAGCTCATATTTAGGAGAATTCCAGTAATATTTCACGTTTTGTTTCGTTATAGATAATACATTATAATAATATTATAAATAATGATAATAATAATATTTTTAATATAAATAAAGTGATTTCTTTGCATAGAAGCACATTTTGAGGATGGATATTTGAATAAGTAACGAACGTGAAAGATACCGTAGAAAACAGATACGTCGAACGGTAAAGTTCAAGGCAGTTAGAGGTGAAGTGTAGTTTACAGGCTGATCAATAAGTTCGTAGTTTACTAGTAAGGAAGTTGTTAACTTCATTGGAGGACATATGGACCGTCAGCTTTAATTACCTAAGCACTCAGTTGTTTAATTACACAGTTTATGCAGTTATAGACATATTAAATCTATGTCAAACAATCATAAATCCTCGTATCACTTTTATCGTGATTTCTATTTCATTTAACACTCGGACAGCGAGACTAGGGATTTTATTGATAACTGAAATTATAAATCATTCTAAACGTACGCAGTTATATATTTTTGTTACATGATTTTTTCTCAATGCTTTAAACTAGACGGTTTATTTTGGCATAAACAGATGTGTCGTTCGTGTGTGTTATCATTAAGTTCTCATGTACAGTGAGCGTCACTTAAATTCTTGTTCCAAATTGCTTCTTTATCTTTAGGCAAAGTTGAAGTAATTTACATATACATGTACCAAATGTAGTTACATTTAATGTGTAATAATTACAAATTAAAAATTTGTTTTCGAAAGTAGTAAATTCAACATATTGAAACGATACAGACATCTCGCTCTCTGTTTCGATACTGCAATTTACCAAATGTTCCTACGAGGCAAATTGTAAAGGTTCTAAGATATTAGATAAAAAAGAAGACAGATTGGAAATTAACTCGTCAAAATATTGGACATATCAATTTACAGTAATTTATTTAGTAAAATAAAAGTCAAGTTGTTAAAATTGATAATTAATGCGCATGTATTTTAATCAAGTTTTACGTATTCGATATTCCGGTACGAAAAGTAATTATTAAATCTTGACAAATAATTTTGCCGTCTATATATAACATCATTCATCTTTTCCCTCGTGTAAAATAAATTAAATTAAATTAATGATAACATTAGTCAAATCACCCTTCCACATCATTTTGTGACCATTCATCAAACTTAATAATCGCTCAGAGATTTCCAGGATTTATTT